GTGTGCTCGACTGAGTGCTCAAATGGAAAATCTAACAGCACGTCTCGAATCTTTCGAGTTGAAAGTCGACGACTCCCATCTTATGGTAGGTGCCCAAGCATGCATTCCGATACACATGTGTGAGACTGAAGAGGAAGATGATGCACTCCAGCGAGACGATGATATTTTGGAGGAAGAGATTCGTGGACTTGACCAAAAATTCCACGTCACCATTTCTCAAGTCCCTCCTCCCGCCACCGAATTGGAGCATTCACCTTCAGAGCCGTTACACTGTGCTACCAAGTGGGCCGGATTTAGCTTGACTTGTTCCACGGATGTTCTCATAATCCCAGAGGATGACGATAGAGCTTGGGTGGGAAAAGTTCTATGTCAATTACTGGGGATTGCTCGTGCCCACACCGGTTTCATTCAGAACATAGCCACCCGGATCCACCATTCCCGCCTTCTTGCCACACTTCCCATGCTACCACTGCTAGAGAATACGAAGGCGTGGCACAATCGTCACTTCTTTTTAGACCCCGACTGAGTTCCTCACAGGTTTCGTCAAGCTAATGACGTTAAAGAAGCGCTTCTTGGGAGGCAACCCAAGTGGTTTATGATTTCTTAGATATTTTCTTTTATGCTTTTTAGTTTTATCTTTGAATAATTGGAGTTTTGGAGATTTGTGGTCTTCTTGATAGGATCTAGTTTTTGAGCTCGAGCACGAGGATTGAGTTGAACGAGGAATATCGAGGTTCTGGGGCTGAGCGGGGGGCGAGTGACTTACACGTGCATGCTTACTCTACTCGATGTATTTTCGGTTTGCACACATTTTCTCTTTTTATCTTTTTGAGTTGCTTCTTCCTTGTGTCCTTTATTCTGGGTTTTGTGTTAGCTGGTAGTATTGGTTCATCATGTGATATTGCTAGGTCTTGTTCTTTGACTTCCCGATTATGTGTTGAAGCAGTGAGGACATTGCCTCATTTTAAGTGTGGGGAAGTTGACTTTTTGCATGCTTATGTGGTGGACCGGTCTAATGTAGGTTTTTTATGTTTTTTTGAGTATGGAGTTTGGAAATTTCAAGATTAGTTAAGACTTGTTTGATGAATTCGATGAGTTGTGATGTTGGTCATATGCGGCATAGCGTGATTAAATGCTTGGTTG